AACCGTTTTAATACTTAGTCATACTCCTTTTTGAGTATAAAATATAAAGGTGACGTGATTCTTTATTAAACGACTGAAAGAAAACACAATTTTATTCATGCTTTTATATACAAGACCGTCGAAATCCGTTGGAAAAACGCATGCTACTTAAGTAGCTACTTTTCCAAAGTAAAATTTGAACAGGAAACTGAAAAGCAGTGTATTTCAAAGCTGACATCCTACCGAGTCCGAGATATTCTAGGATTTTGTCACGTGATAATTAGCATTATAACCGCGCCTAAGTAATCCTTCCTAATCGAAAACGCCTTTCAGAATTTCAGCCAACATTTCATGAGATCGTTCACGCACTGTATGTGTGGCGTGTTGTGTGTCGTTGGCAATTTCAGTGCTTCTAAAAGCAAAGTATATGTTTATTATTTTGGGGATTTTTACTTTTTTTCGCACAAACTTCCTTCGAATGAAAATTTTTTAAAAAGCGGAGAACTACTACTGTCTTCGGAGATTGACGGTGAAGCAAGATGTGGGTGCTTTTTTACTCTCATCCAACGTTGGAATCCTGCTTGCTACAACCATGATTCCAGAGATAGCCTTTTAGAACAAATGTTTTTTTGGGTAAAACTTTATGTGAGATCTATCGTCGGACATCAAATTATTCTTCATTGCGGTCAAAACCCGCGCGGGACGCTCGTCAACTTGACATAATTAGGGGTCGCATTTGCATAAAAAATGAAAGTCAACAGAAAACTGCCGACTTTAGATGCTTTCGTACAGCAAAATACATGAGCAAAATTACAAACGCTGAGACGGAACTCATCCAAATAATTCTCGTCAAACCAGTATATTTATGCGGGAAGGGGATAGAAGTAAAACATTTCAGTTATTAATGAAATCGATTAAAGTTCGTTTTAAAACACAAGGGGGAGGTGCATTGAGAGAAGAAGGGCGCGGATAGTTGCATGTAGTTAGTCGATCGTTGGCCATGGTAGGCGTGGAGCCTGAACGAGGTTCGTCTGCGAGCGCAAGATCGGCATTCGCAGTCTGGTAGCGGCCGATCCAGCTGTTGCTAACAGACGCTGGCCCTGTTACTTGGCGTAGCTCGATGGAACCTTACAAATCACGTGATAATCTTCGCTGGGGTCCACACGATGCCCGGAACCAACAGCATGCACGAGAACGGCGCTATACACTCTCCTAATCTGCCCTTTTTCCACTCATGTTCACTTATTCACATGGATCGGCACCGAATTATGCGACCAAAATAACGTTTTCCGCTGTAAAAAGTGAAGGGGCAGATACCAACTGTCTGCCTATCCTAACCTTCCCCGCATAAAATAGATTTAGTAGATAATTGCCAATAGCAGCAAAGATACGAGTCCTAGGAAGCAGTTGTGAAGAAGCAGACGGGATCGCTGCGACAAGAGCTTTATTAGCCTGACGTTTCGGATTCCTGCTAGAACCCATCATCAGAGACAATAGGAGATACGGGTGGTTCATGCACAAGTGGATGCAGTATTTATAGGATGCAGTCGCCATGCCACCTCATTCCTATGAATATTCACGGCTCCCCCCTTCATCAGGTATTGTTTCACTTGGTTTACTGACTATTTGATGGCCGACATTCGCTTCGTTAACTTCTGCAATTTCATCACGTGCGTTGGATGTTGGTGTGATGATTACTCGACCATCTGACCAACCGATCATGACGTTGGGAAGAGTGTTCACCTGTGCGCTCCCCGACTGGCGCGTGGATAACTGCACTCGAACACTTGCTGCTAGGAAGATTCCTGAGACAACTTGATCAAAGCTTCTTCTAAGGAGTTCACCGGCAACGTCAGCTATGTCGGTTTACGTGGTGACGATTGCAAAAATGTCATCAACGCAGCGACCGCAATGTTTAACCCTATTCGTCTGATCGCTTCGTTGACAGTTCTTCAGCTTGCCCACGAAGATATCGTCTAAGAGAGGTCCAAGAGGCGAGTCCATAACAACTCCGTCTATTTATCTATCGAATTGGTTGTCAAAAAGGAACGGCAACGGTACAGAGAAGGATCCCACTTAACTGTCAGTAGACCGTGGATCGTGACATACGTGATTTATGGTAAAGGGAGTTTTATGAGTGAGGTAGCACGATAGACAGTAAGCTGGAAAATGGAAGAAAACACAAATACTGTCTGGATTTATGCCGAAAGTCTTATCCCACGCTATTGTATGACCACGGAAATGAGAGTAGTAATTAAACAATAAACAAAAAGTAAATTTCGCAAAATAACGGAGTTTGAGTTAAAATGTGCGGGAACGGGCATTTGATCGTAGGTCTGGTTCCAGAGATTATCGGAATGGGTTAACTTTTCGGAGAGGCAGGCAAAGCTTAGGACCAATGGATATCGCTTCAATTGATGTTTTATCAAGTGTTAATTGCATTGGCCAAACCCAAGGTTTGTTCTTCTGAATTTACGTACGAGAGTTAATTCTGATATAGCAAATAAAGTGTCCTTTTCCAGTTGCAAATGACTAGTAATTGTTTACCAAAATAGGTTCAAGAGCAGCTGATGAGCAGAAGAAGGGTTTAAGTACAATTCTCGATCAAAATTTGCAGTTCTTAAAATCATTTTAACATGCCAAACAGTGTGACGAAGGCCACACGTCAAATCCAACCCCAGTAGCAGACCCAGGCGAAACTCCTAACGCTAAAAAGAAGTCTAAAGGCTAAGAACGTCACATTAAAGTCAATGGAAATACCGAAGACTACGTATTGTAAAATGAATTTCAGCCTCAGCTGAAGTGCGAACTGTCTGTTACCGATGGGCTCAACTGGGTGACCAACAAACAAGATGATGTGCGATGGCTGAATGAAGTCTATTCTACTTATCAGTCGCCCCACTACAGAACAACCGCTTCAAAATGGTGGTGGTGATGATGATGAGCGAGAATTACGGTCGGAGACGGATATCACGAAATGTTGCCCCAAATACTGAAGTGCATTTTCCATTAGGAAGAATTACTTAGGTAGGGTCATAGAATCGATTGTCGGGCTGCATAACCCCAAGACATCTCGAGCACGCTAGGATATCGGATTCTGAATACGTTTCCTTCCGGCCGCCAGCAGCAGGCACAGTCGGTAACAGTGACTACTTAATTATTGCGTATTTCGTCTATTGATTCTCTACGGGCTTATATTTTCAAATGTATTTTATAGAAAATCCACATGAAAATATTCTATCCTCTACTCATTTGGTAGCCGATTACATCTTTTTTAAACCTGATGCATTTATGAGGGTACGAGTCAATCAAACTTCAGTGGCGTCAGTCTAGATGTGACTGCTGGCACCAGTTCTCATCTTCAGACTTCAACTAATTCGCGGCTGGCCTTGCTTCTGTACAGACAGACATGCCATTATAAGTGCTAACAGCACTGGCGCGTAGGTGCGTTGTACAGCAGTTGCTTTAAGTTCGAAGTAGTACGATCTCAATGGGCTGTAGGTGGGCTGTTGGAAAACAAATGATATATTTCACAAACAAACGTTACTTAAATATGTACAGTAGAACTATGACATTTAAAAATATAGTTTAGGGTAAGGTGATTCCATACTTTCAGCACAGGTAATAGCCACAAAACCCATGCACGCGTGTTTCGCCGATATTCGGTCGCTGCATGACATAGCGGCGAGGGTTTCGGATCGTCAGTGGGTCTCCCAGCATTCCCCGTCTGCCTACTGGTATATACTCCGATTTAGAAATTGTAGCTTTTTAATTTCTTTAGAAGTTAGCTACCGAACCCCTCGCGGCTGCGCAATGCAGCGGTGAAACACGCGTGTATGGGCTTTTGGCTATTACCTATGCTGTTAGTATGAAATCACCTTACCCTAAACTATATTGCTAGCTGCCTGTCGGCAGTAAATGAATATTACGCGGTTATCCGCTGTGGCTGATGGACTTTGACCCAAATATTCATACATAAATCTGGGGTCTGAGTCTATAGACCTTAGATATACTGACCTGCTCCAAATTCGCAATTACGTTCCGAGGAAATTATAAAGCAACAATTAAAAATATTCATTACCGACCGTCGAGATATTGGTCAGCTGGCAATTTAGTGCCTACAGATCCAGTTTCCTTTTAAAGCCTCCACGAATGCAGACATAACAACATTGGCGTAAATGGTAATGTTCTCACGAACTAAAGAGTTATATCCCACGAGCCCTTAGCATTAAAGGCAGCAAGTAAAATCGACGTGTGAATAATACAGAAATTCTGAATGTTAAGTAACCTGACAACAGAGCGTGACTGCTAAACAGGCCAGCGAAGCGGGTTGTACAGGCGGGTAATAAACGCGACTAGATTGTCAGAGGTAAATTAGTCCTGTACCTCACCACAGTACCCCTCTACCAGATCGGAAGATATGCATAAGTCTAGCAAGAATGCGTAACTATACGATTGGAGACATGAACGTGACTGCCACTGCAAGTGATGTATGCAGGAGGTACAGTCGAAGATGGCTGACTGCGTGCAGTGGTGGAGGATGATGTTGCAGTTGGACGCTGTAGACATGTAGGGAGAGAAAGCATGCGGGACGGAAGGGTAGAGGGCAAGGGAGGGGAAGGGGGAGGGAATGGGCAAGGTGAATAAGCAGGGGATAGTGAAGATGAGGGAACAGGGGTTGGGGGGTCAGCACATTTTCGTCCTTGCGACAGGCTCCTCTGCAACAGCAGCCTTGACCAGATCGACACTGACCACGTCCTCCTTGTCACCGCAAAGAATCCGGCAGGTCTTGACGTTGCGTGCGAGCACGTGGAACGGTCATTTGTATGGGGATTCCAGCGGCTGGCGCACACGGTCACACCGGACGAACATATGAGTGCATTTATCCAAGTCTTTTTGGACATAAGACTCAATCGTTGGAGTTCGAGGTGGAACCGCGGGAAGCGAGCGCATAAATTGCCGCAGATGGTGCACAAAATTGTCAGGAGTCACGTCGGCCCCACGAGAGGTTGGGTGATCATCTAGCCTGGCAGTCGGAGGGTAGGGCCGAAAACCAATTCAGCTGCGCTACACTCCAGATCCGACTTCAGAGCTGCGCGGATACCGAGGAGTGCAAGAGGAAGGTTGTCCGACCAGTTTCCTGGGTCTTCTACGGCACGCATGGCGGTCTTTAGCTGGCGATGGAAACGCTCAAGCATACCGTTAGCAGCCCGATGGTAGGCTGTCGTCCGAATGCGTGTGCAGCTAAGGAAATTGATTAGCGTTTGGAAGAGTGCCGACTCAAACTGGGCACCACGATCAGTCGTAACCGTGGATGGAGCACCGAACATGGCGACCCAACGACTGACGAAGGCCCTCACTATGGTTTCAGCCTGTGCATTCGGCAAAGGAATAGCTTCAGCCCAGCGGGTATATTGGTCGACGCAGGTAAGGAGGTGGGTGAAACCATTGGATGGAGGCAAGGGGCCTACGACATCCAGGTGCACATGGCTGAACTGTGCGTCGCGGCTGGGGAAAGTGCCTGGTAGGGACTTGTTGTGACGTTGCACCTTGTTGCGCTGGCAGCTCAGATACGACTGGGCCCAAGCTTTGACGTCCTTGTTCATGCCAGGCCAGACAAACCATTCCGCGAGGAGCTTTTGAGAGGCTCGGACCCCAGGGTGGGAGAGTCCGTGCAGAGTTTGAAATACAGCTCGACGCATCGAGGCGGGCACGAAAGGGCGATGAAAGGGAGTCGAGACGTCACAATGTATGGTACCATAGCCGGTGGTCAGAGGAATCTCTTTGAGTTGGAGACTACTAACAGACTCGTAGCCAGGACAACCGACTCGCTGTTGTTCAGCCGTCATGGCGCAAAGATCGATCCCGTGTGTGAGTTGGAGAGAAGACAGTGAGGGTCTGGAAGGCATATCAACCACCTCATTCTTCGTGCCATCAATGTGGCGGATGTCGGTGGTAAATTGGGAGATGTAGTCCAGGTGGGCGATTTCCCTCGGATTGTACTTGCCGGAATGGGACCGAAGTGCAAAAGTCAACGGTTTGTGGTCAGTGAAAACAGTGAAGTCCCGACCTTCAAGGGAATGTCGGAAATGCTTCACAGCCAGGTAAAAGGCAAGTAGTTCATGGCCAAAGGCAGATGGATAGATAGATAATTTTTATTAAAGACCCGTCGGGGTCCCATCAAAACAAGTTAAAATAAATTTACATGCGAGTTTTAGACGAGGTAGGCTGAATCTTTACAAAATGCAATTCATTGTTTCTGAATTAGAAGTCCGTTGAGAAACATGATGATTGACTGGTGAAAAAAACTCCTTACAAAAAGTTAAAAATGATTGGATTAATTTTACAGGAGAAAAAAAAACCCGCAATAAAAATAATGACAGAAAAAGCGAGCAGGACTGGCCTGTAGGTGGCGGTATATAACGGAATGTTGTCGGTCATCGTCATGGTAGCAATAAATGTCAGCCTTGATGGGTACGAATGTGGGTCAGACAGGACTGGCTTGCATATGGCATTGTATACGGGATTCACAATTGAGATCGTCTGGGTCGGATTGGTACACCGCATCAAAGAGGCCAGACGAGAGGAACCCAGATGCGATCGGCCACAGCACGCTTCGAGCTCAGACGAGCAGTGGGGAAGGGAGGTACGACCGAACTACTAGTAGACAGTGAATACTGAGGGTTCCGCCCTGAGCGTCGACAGACCGCATGAGGTCGGAATGCGGGAGATGACATCAAAAACCGCGAAAATTGTCGCTATGGGGGGGGGGGAGTGATAGCAGTGGATTTAGAAACCAAATTAAAAACAAGGGTTTCTAATGATATAATTAAGAGTTACCACTTAATCTACCACTAAATCCCAGGAGGACCCTTCTCGAAGTCAAGAATCTGAGTGTTCGGGAATGAGACCGTTAACAGTGCCTTTATGCTTTCCGGTGTAAGATTTTTGCGCAATTTCGACTTGAATACTAGTAACTTAGGCGATAATCTAATTTCAGGCGGAAGATTATTCCAAAGGAAGGCATATTTGGAAGCAAAGAAGAGGGACCGCTTAGATATAGTACAAAGAGGCGGCGGCGGAATCACCATGCAGGAGTTACGCGTGGCATAAGACCGATCTCTCGGAGTGAGAGTGTCAATGGGCGGAAGACTGGAGCTAGAGTTGATGCGAAAAAGGAAGCACAGGCCAGCTTCGAGTATTCTAACCCACAAAAACTTAATGTTCGCCAGCTGACATCTCTGAGTATAAGAAATACTGGACGAAGCTTGAGAGAACAGTTTCCGGGTGAAAACCCACTGAACATTTCGATTTTATTACGGTCGCAGGCGTTCATTAAACCGAAGAAAGGACAGCAATATTCGAGGACTGGAAGAACAAACGTTTGATAAAGTCTTAGCTTCATTTCCGGAAGGAAAAAAATTATGCGATATGAATCCACATATCTGCGCAGCTTTGGCAGAGATTCTATCTGCATGAGGTGATAAAGCAAGTTTATTTGTATAACTTAGACCTAGGTCCTTTATGGTGAGGCATTCTGAGAGTGGGTTATTCGGAAAAATTATGGGAGCAGGAAGTTTGGTAGGACCAAAAGACATGAAACTATACTTGGATGATGAAAACTCCATCTGCCATGTCGAACCCCATCTGCTTAAGCGTAGTAGATCGGCATTAATTTTTTCAACACAAACATTTGCGGTGTCCTTAGAGTATGAGTAAACACACTTGAGGTCATCGGCATTAGTAAAAGTTTGCGAAATTCCGAGTTCAGTCGCAATATCATTGATGCACAGAAGGAAGAGTAGCGGACCCAGAACCGTGCCTTGAATTACGCCACTCGTGATCGAGTGGGGTGTCGAGTAGCTATTACCGACCATGACTTTCTGATATCGGTTGGACAGATAGGACCTGATGAAGTTGAGTAGAGGCGGCCGGATGCCGAGAGCTTTCAATTTTACTAAAAGACGTCTATGGGGCACCTTGTCAAAGGCTTTGCTGAGATCAAAGTAAATAACTACCACTGACTGCCGCTCATTACGAAGAGAAGTGATTAGATTAAGAAAAGCCAAGTGACATGTTTCGCAGGATCGTTCAGGTAAAAATCCATGCTGACTAGAGCTCAGAAGCCGATTAGCTAGACAGAAGTCAAGAATTTCATTGAAAATAATCCTTTCAAGAAGTTTCCCTAGAGACGGCGTTTTGTGCACGCCCGATAGTTATTAACATCGGACCGAGGTCCTGACTTAAAAACGGGAATGATAATTGACGTTTTCCATGTTTCAGGAAAGAACCCTTTTGAAATATAAACCGAGAATAAATGACTGAGCAATATGGGAAAGTCGGACGCTTGTTTAATAATCGAATTCTGTATCCCGTCCGTTCCTGAGCAGTGTGAGTATTTCAAACGGCTTACGTGTTTCTTAATGAGATCTGAGGAGACATCAATTGTACTAAGTGTCCTATCTGAAAGTGATCGAAAGAAAGGGACCGGATCGGACTCGGTAGCAAGGTGTTTTGCAAAGAAAGCACTAAACAACTCCGCCTTGTCAGTGTCATCGGTGAGGAAGACTTTGTTATCATTTAGCATGGGTGGAAGTTCATGACCACGCTTAGAGGAGGACCGATGACGGAAGATGTTAGCGACGGATTTGCCAGGGTTCGAACCACTGAGAGCAATTGATTCTCTTTGCCTGTCGCGCGCTTGGCGCATCCTTGAGGCCATCTCAAATATCTCTGTGATTCTAAGATGAACTGATAAGGAACTAGTGGATAGGTCACGCAGTTGTCGCCTCAACTTTTTTAGTCTGTTCTGAAGAAAATGAGGAACAAGGGAATCTGAAGAATTAGCTTTGAGATATCTACGCGGCACAAACTCTAGAATGTCCTTGGAAACATTGGACATGACATCACGAAGAATGGTTACATCGCTACAAGTGAGGAAGCCACACCAATCCAAGGATCTCATATAGTTATTTATTAAGTCGCCATCTACGCAGTCGTAGTTCATGTAAGTCCGAACGGCGCTTGTCTTTTTTGAAAAGGCAAGCGGTAGGCAACAATGAATTAATACGTGGTCACTGTCAAAGAGGCCCTTTTTTAAAGCAACAGAAAGAGGAGCAATGTCATTGGTAAAGATTAGATCTAAAATGTGATTATCTCTTGTGGGAGAGCGCACCAGTTGGGACCAATTAGAAAAATTGACAATATCTTGAAAGGGCTGGAATCTGGGTGGGCAGCTATTGGAAACCCAGTCAATTTCAGGGAGGTTAAAATCCCCAGTGATTATTTTAACATCGAAAGCAGCTTCCGAAATTAATTTAAAGATTTCACAAAGTTGAGAATCATCACTGGCTAAAGAATTTGGGGGATTGTAGATACAGCCAATAATTGCCTTTCTTTGTGGGGAGAGAATAACAGATGCAAAGCAGAAGTTTCCCGTGAATGAGGAAACATCCAAGTAATAGGGAGAGTGCTTTAGGTAGGATTTAAGATAAAGAAGACAACCACCCCCACGCCTAGTCGTGCGGTCTTGGCGGTAAAAATCGAAGTCATCTATGAGAAGGGCAGAGTCAGGAATTAGAGAATGTGTCCAAGATTCTGTTACACATTTAATATCAGGCGTCATTTCCAGAGTAATGGCTCTGATTTGGGCCATCTTGTTTATAACTGACCTGGCATTCAATAATATAATATCAAATGTGTTTCGAACGGCAATGCTATTTTCGACGGTATTTTTAAAAAAATTGGAGGTGGATATGTAAGCTGTGAATTAATGACACTTGGAGAATAAGTACCAGTTAATCTAGAGTTATTGACGTACGACCGACGAAGGCCAATGTTCAGGGTGAGGGACAGACTGCCAAAAGTGGGAATGGGGGAACAATTGGCAGCTTGGAGGTGAAGACCAGAGCTAGGGAAACGACTATCAGCTGGAGTTGGGGGGGGGAAACGCTGGTTTGGGCTCTAGTGTCCACCAGGAAACGTCTGCGAGCCGCAATGTCGCCAACCTGGAAGGTGCGACCAGAGCCGGAAGAGCCAGAGAAAACGGTCGCGTCTATTCTCTGGCTGACTGGTTTCCCGGTTTCAGTTTCAAAAAGCAGGGTGAGGAACAGCGACAGGCCTTTGCGCCGAAATTAGTGTGATACCAACAAGTATCAGCAGTCCGAGGTCGAGAAGGAGAACGAAGATGGCTGTGTGGGCGACTGTACGCAAGGTGTGCGAGCTGTAGTTTAAGGGAGGCCATCTCATCCGTCATGGCCACACCTGCTTCATTAACTGCTCATTCACTGTTGATGAGGATGTGGAGATCTGGGCGACGGAAGGCGACTGGGACCGCTGCACCCTATCATTCGATCCGTCATCTAAGCCAGTTGTGAGACCGTGAGATCTTGAGAACCGGACGCCAGAATCGTCTTAACATCTCCAGGCAGACGCTCTAGAAGCATCTTTTTTAAAAATTTATCGTCAACCTGCATGTCTCCGAGGGGAGAACGCATTCGACGTAGAAGTTCTGAGGGCTTCCGGTCACCCAGTGACTCCTCCTTAAGTAACTGGTGATACCTCTGTCGGTCGGACACAGAACTAAGTCGAATAATTTCTGTCTTTAGCGTGGAATAGGGAGCATCTGCAGGAGGACTAGATAGCAAGGACTGAACCTGAGAGATATCACTAGCGGGGAGGACCTCCACAAGTTTGTGGTGTTTTGCCAGCTCCTTGGTAACGTAGGCAGAATAAAAGGCTGATTCAGTGCGGAGAAAATAAAGTTCTGGAGCGTGTTGCCAGAGTTCAGGCAAGGTAAAATTGACGGCATGAAGGGACTGGGCGCGGGCATCAAGCTGTTGGTTGGAATGAGACATAATAATCAAGACAGAGATGGTAGACGAGAAAATTCGTGAGAAAAGAAGACGTAAATGGAATAGAAATTCACAGACAAATAGTACGTTAAATGTTATTCAATATGAAGTAGAAGGGTATAAAGTCTGCGTTAACGTCGGGAGTCACCAATGACGTAGATTGTAATGTTCGCACGAAATAACGAATTATATCTCACGGGCCCTTAGCGTTAAAGGCAGAAAGTTAAACCGATGTGTGAATAATGTAGAAATTCTGAACGTTAAGTAACCTGACAACAGATCGCGACAGTTAAGCAGACAAACGAAGCGGGTTGTGCAGGTGTATTGTCTTTCCTCACATTCAAACAAGCAATCCGGGCAGAGAAAACGGGACTAAACTGTCAAAAGTAAATTAGTCCGGTACCTCACCACAACATCCACAGACAAAGCATTCCAAGCTCCAACCATTGTTGGAGGAGAAGAAGAACTTCCGTCTGTCCAGTCTATCTCCAGTTACACGTATTTTGAGTGGATACCCTCGCAGGTTCATTTCGATTGCTAACTCGAAGAAGTCTCCAAGCGCAAGGCAGCAGTCCTGACTGTGCATGATGCGAAACGTTTCTGAGAGGTCGTCGCGTACCTCCCTGTAGCCCAAAGGAAATAAGATAATCGTATTTCGCATGGTAGTGAGCCCTGTTAGCACGCCTTAAAACTTTTTCGAGCATTCTGAGGTACTTGGCAGTTCAGGGTCTCCATGCTTGGATAGCTAAATTTAGTTGCGGCCGCGAAAACGCCCGAAAGACTTTAACGAGACAATCCCCATTGAGGCGAGAGAAAGCGCGCTTGACGAGGCACAGGACCAACACTGCGGAATTGGCTACCTTTGAGCAGTGTAGTGACGGTTTAAGTGAAGTCGTGATCCGCACGCCCAAGCACCTCGGGTGGGGAGGGTTGACATACTGTAATTCTGTGCATTCAGGTGGCGAACCATGCGGTTCCGCCGACTCGTAGAAAGCTGCTCTTATTCACACCGAACAGCAAAAGTCAGTCATTTAACCATTGCTTGAGTCGGGTTGGATTCGCCCGCAAACGCTCTTTGTTAACACTCCAGTCTGGATGACGACCTAAAACTTAATATCGTCGATTAGCACCGCGCCATCGCTATCCCGTTTATGGACGCAGTCGTTTACGTATATAATAAACAGAGTCGAAACAAGGACAGAGGCCTTGAGGAACACCGCCATCTAATGCAAACCAGGCCGGCTACGAAGCTTCGAATCCACGTCCGAGGCTTGACACTTTCACCTATACGGTCGAGTATTTGTAGGAGGCGTTGTTGGGGCACACTATCGAGGGCCTTTTTGAAGTCCATATGGACTGCATACACTGTATTCCGCTCCTCGACTCCCCAACTCTAGCTTTCTAAGTAATAATTCAGTATAATCATTCCGCATATATGAGGGATGTAGGCAGAGCCTTGGAAAACCATATTTACAGATAGACGCATGAAACAAACATTCAGATATTTACATAGTCGTTATGCCAGTCATTGATATCGCGAAATGTTTGACCATCAAGCATAAATTTATCTCGTCTTCTTTTAAAGGTCTCAACGTTTTCCGCTAAGACCACGGAGTTCGGCAATTTGTTCCATCCTTCAAGCAGTCGGTGGGAGAAGAATTTGGCCCGCAATTCGAGTTTGATATATTTTAGCTTCAATTTGTATTGGTGGCCTCGAAGATTGGTCGTCCGCGCTAGTTCGAAGAAATTGTCAAACTGAAGAGCACAGTCTAGTCCTCTGACGATTCTAAAGGCCATGATCATATCCCCTCTGTATTGTCTATAAGAGAGAGGAAATATTTTTAGCTTTTCCAGCCGTCTCTCATAAGGTACGCTACTGAATCCGCCGACTAGCTTGCTCCAGTAGGGTGTAATCTTGTTTCGTCCAGGGACACCATGCCTCAACACAATATTCCGACATTGGTCGAACGAGTGCTCCAATTACTCGGCCGAAAAGTTCTTCGTCAAAAATGAGGAAGGATCTTCTAATCGCGCCTAGGATACCCATAGCTTTCCTTGATACCTTGGCGCAATGAGACGATGGTTGAAGAGTTGACGTCATCCACACACCGAGGTCTCTTAACTGGTTGACTGATTCGAGTTGGTGACCTCCTATAAGTTAGTGAGATTCAAATCTCAACGGCCTCCTGCTGCTCAATCATAATCGGATAAGTTGGCCTTTTTTACGATTGAGGCTAAGACACCACTCGTCACACCGTTGTTGCAAGCGATTCGGATTATCTTGTACCTGTACAGAGTCTTCCGGCTTCTCCATTGAACAAGTTTGTCACACAGGACCCGCCTGCATAGAGCCCATGCCAGAAATCCGAAAGTAAATTGTCATGTTCCAAAAAAATGCTTGCTTATTTTTTATAATTTTGCAGCAAATGGAGGTAAGGCTCTGTAATTGTTTGTGCAGATCGGACTACCACCTTTACTCAGTGGTGTACTTCGCGCAGATTTCCACTCGACTAGCAGACATCCGGCCTCGAAGGAGGCATTGAAATCATAGAGAATGGTTTTACCAACTCACCGGCGAGTTTCTTCAAAATCTTCGCTGGAACCTCATCGGGATCCGACGATTTTGATTGCTTAAAGTCTAGCAACTACCTTAAAAAATCGCTTTGGCAAACTGAACGGTCTCAATCATTGTGGTCTCTTCGAAGTCACTCTCCGGAGGGGTTGAATCCCCTTCCCCTAGTGAAAATAGACTTGAAAATTACGAAAAATGATCTGCTTTCGCCCCATCTTCAGCACTTGTTAGCTGGGGTATTGGATAACTGTTTCTTGCGCCCTGTTTTAATGTAACCGTAGAATGACCGCCGATCATCTACGGAACGAGTAAACAGATCCAGTTTGAATTCGCATCTTGTTCTGAGAACATGCCTCTTGTCTCGATTTCTTTCTCCGAGTCGAAGCTAACGCCGCCCGAAACGGAGGTAGGGCTCAGAAGGAGAGAGAGGGGGAAATTCAATTTTATTTTGAAAGTATAGACTCAAGAATTCCAGCCAACATGGGCTCCATTCACTTTGGACAGAATATAAGCTAACACAGTACCCAAGAGTCAAAAAGGTTTACACAGAAAGGAATAGCTACGACGGGGACTATTCGAGTCTTATTTTCTGTCCTTCTGTCTCTTAACACGTGAGATGGCGGTCCAGGAAGGGAATTACAGAATGCTGATATGCCGATGTACGGAAGGAAATATATTAGAGGCCACGGCGCATGGGGTTTGAGGACTTCGCAGAGATTGGATGGGCGGCATCATCCGTAATTCGACTAGCAAACTGCTGAGCCGTTTCGAAATGTCGTTGTATGATAAGACTGACTAAATGAACATAAGTAACAGTGGTAACAGAAGAGAGCATTCGGAGGACTGGTTTTAAAGCCAATATATCCTTGTTGAGCAAACCAGGAAAAGTGGGGGGAGAATAGTGAAGGATGAGGGAGAGATAGAGAGAGGGAGTGAGAAGGAGGGCGTGTATTTTGAATTTGCACTTCCTTTAGGCGATCAGTGTTGTAGGCGGCGATTCCGACATCTCGAAGGACAGGCGGTAACGTGGACGAAACTCCTTGTACAACGGAAGACAAGTGTTTCATTTTATCCTGGAGCCGTCGCCTGCAGTCTTCTCAGAGAGTCGTATAGGAACCAGCAGATTACGCCGGAGACTGAGGCAGCTCCTATGTGGTCTTTTGGCGTTTTAAAGTGGGGCATGAGAAGATTCGAAGAAAGTGATGTTTGTTGAAGTAACTAAATGCTTGCTAGGAAACTGGCTTATTTTTCAGTTTTCTGGCGGCTCGAGTCAATCATTTAAGCACCGAATTAAGAAAGAGAACGTGTTTTTTGAGTTAACGCTTACCTAGGGCGATCTATATTGTAAGCCGCGATAACAACATTTCCGAAGACACACTCGAATCAATGTGCCAGACGGTAACCTGGACGAATCTGCTTGTGGGACGCCTGAGTCACGGGCTTAGTCCCCATTAGCTCTGATTTAGAATAGTTAGATCGTCTTACTAAAACAGCCGGATTTCAGGTCTAACGTTCATGATGAAGATTGCCCAGCGAGTTCTACGATGTCCACACAATTAATTTTTAGACAAGGAGCTGTCTGAAAAGTCATTTTGGCAAACACGTGTTTTCGATAAATCATCCGTTGCATAGAATTGAAAATATAAAAATTTCACAGGGTTTATAAGTGACACAGGGGCTACTGATACTCATAGTTCCCACGCCACCCGCATGACGAGGTCGGCGTGTTATGATCTTTGGGGTAAGGCGGTGACATAGGCTGTGAGTGGTGTTTGCAAGTCGGGTACGTGGAGTACACATCACTGACGTCAGGGGATTGGGACAGCGTGTAACAACCGTCTGGGGTCGGCCTTCACCACGGAAGACAGAGTGCCTGTGTCAACGTCTTCAGACAACAAAGCACTAGATTTGCAAGCCGTATAGCCATGACCTTACTGTCGCTAACACTCGTTGGTGTAGGCCTCTGGTGAAGTTTGCTGGTGTCCGGTAGATAATTTCAATTTCTATGTAAATGTATTGGCCTGAGGACGAATTACCGAAAGCACATGTTTGCCAGATTGACTCTTAACGTGTGACATGACAATATTCGTAGAAAGAGATGTTTGTTGAAGCTACTTAATGCTTGCGAGTAAACCTGCATATTTGTCGCTTAACTGGTGGCTCGGTTCAGTCGTTTAAACACTGCATTTAGAAAGAGAACGTGTATTTTGAATTTGTGATTCCTGTAGCTGCAGGCGTATGTGTGCAGTTGTCTACGTGCAACTCAGGGAGCGCACAGGTGAACACTGTTTACAACGCCAGGATCGGTGGGTCAGATGGCCAAGCAACCAACATCCAACACACGTGATGAAATTGCAGCAATTAACGACGCAAATGTCGGCCATCAAACAGTCATCACATCGAGTGCAGCAATCCCCAACGAAGGGGGGAG